TGCGTGTGTCACCATTTGGACAAAGCCTCCAAACGCAGTTTGTCAGGTTGAAAAATATGTCTCCAACGCACTGGTCACATGACTGAGCTTGAGAACAATCTGTAGGAGGGACGAAACTGGCAGTTAATCGGTTATTGTCAATCAAACCCAATTGATTGGCCGATGCGCAATCATCCTCCCCCACACAAACCCTGTAACAGCTGCATTAATGCATTAAAGACATCCTGCCAGTTTGGAAGGTGGCGAGAAAAAAAAAGGGCAAAAGTTTGTCATGACAAAGACAAAATGATGTCAGATTAACATTTTAACTGCATGTTAGCTGGAGAACAAACTACCTTCAAAGTGAATGAGAAATGAAATGAAAAATACTTTATTTATCCCAGAAGGGAAATTCAATAAAGAATTAGAAGAAAAAAAAAGAAGAGAAAGAAAACAGAACCAGATTCTGGAGGAAACGAGGTGTCAAGGAAACGCCAGATGCCAAGTATAAGGAGACACACCAGCAGGTTTCTGACAACATCTAGATACGCTTAGATGTCACACATTGGGAAAATAACCCATACCTGACTGGGAATACACAGAGGAAACCACCGCTAGAAGCATCCAAGTGGAACAAAGGACCTTCATGGCCAGCTGCTGCATCCTAACAGCCACAGAGCAGCAACGCCTGCAACTGGCAACCAGAAACTTTAACGCTTGGAGTTGAATTAGTATCCAAAAAAAAAAGGTTTTAAATTGAAATGTCTTCAGCAAGTCCTTAAAAGGGTTCCCAGCTAGGACACAGAGAGAACGAGAGACGGACAGGAGATCTGTGTAACATGAGCAAGACCAAACTTGGTTGCCTGGCGACCAATTGGTCCGCCTCAACCCTCCTGAAATACACACCGGTTAGAACGGACTGACACCTGCTCACCTCAGCAGGCAGCACGTGAACACACACACACCTGTATACACTCATATGTACCTACAAAACCCATACACAGTCATAGGATTGTTTCTTTATTTCCACTAGTAAACTGGTCTTACACGCTGAATTTATTTTTTTCTATTTTATTCTACATTTTATCTTTTACATGCTTTTATTTTCTCATCTCTGGTCTTTTATTGCTGTTTATTCAATCAGTTTTAATCATTTTATTCATCTGTGTACTTTATCCAACTTGCATGTACTATTTTTGATTAATTGAATATACTATTTTAATCTTGATTATATGTTTTATTCTGTTTTGTTTATTATATTTGCCTGTTAAGCACTTTGAAATGATAAGGTACTATATAAAAAAGATTTGCTTGCTTGAACAAATGAGAAGAAGCTACACCTGCTCCCTAATTAAATGTCATTTTGTCAGTAATTGTAATCGATTAAATTATCATTTCATAATTTTTATCCCACATTACTCTGCCCTGTGTGAGAACTTGGTGTATATTTTAGAGCTGCAGTTGCCCACGCTGTTGAAGTTCCTACAACCCATCCTCTTGGGACCTTGAACTATCCATCCAT